GGATTTACAATGGTGAAGATACGCCCGCGCCGCGTTCGCGACCGCTAAACTATTGCTGCTTCTGCGCCTTCGTCATGCAGTAGCCTTTACATACATACAAACAGACATTCAGCTTTATATTCAAGATAAATCTACTCGACTGATGTGACTATTGTCAACTGCTGAGCAGTACGCATAGACAAGCAGACGAATACGATAGCTGGTTGAATCCCTGATAATGTGCACATCACTTACTGCATGAATAAGGTAATATCTTATAATAGTAACTTTTGCAAGCACTATATCACTACTACTTGTTTTAGTAGATACCAAGCAAGACATATTTACTACAATGACTCTTCCTTTTGCATAGAATAATGAAGAACTCTATAGAGAGGATGAGGAAGTGACAAGCACTATTATACGAAGTCTTTATTATGTGCGATGGTCATACAAATCGGCTATGGCTGACCTACTGGGTCTTCGATGGTGGTTTAAAGGAGTAGTTTGGCACGTAATTATAATACGGATAAGTGGGGTTGTTGAAGACTGGCATTAGATATTCGTACATGCAGACGAGAAACACAACACAGCATGAGTAGACAGTCACAAATATCCACACTTCACGTTTGCTGAATGGATTGTCAACAGTAAGATCCTTTGGAAGGGAGTACCGTCGATTGTTCATCTGAAATTTCTTGTTAACATACAAAGGTGGACAGCTGGACACTACGAATTCACTCCAAAAATTGTAGTATTATTGCCTTACTGTTGGTAAATGTTTGAAATTTTGCTGTTCTTTGTATATGTTTACTAACGTGACCCAAGGCGTTCCGAATTCGTCGATTTGAGAAGAAAATGGTTAGAAAAAATTGAAGAAGCTTGTATTGAAGGTGGACCTTGCTACAAGACTATCTTCTTGCAATCACTACGGTTTTATTCAGCTTTAGTTCTACAGCTACAGTCAGACGTTTGCAACTGCAACAATGGAAACTTTCTACTGCATGTCCGCTTCCAAATGCATCAATAAAAGTCAATTTTTAGCAAGCAGCTGGTTCATGGAGACCTCAAAACCTCACAATGGATTTACTGACACTAAGATTGGCTAAAGTTCCCGATAAATATGGTGAGGGCGAAGAAACGTCTTGGTCGCTGATACTGACAAATAAATCTTGTCATAATGCAGACAAGTTTTTGACGAAACCATGTTTCTGTGGCTTGAAAAGTTCTGTGTTGCAAACAGTATGTAAAGGAATAAACGTGCGTGACCTAGGAAAGCTGCCCTGGGCAATCGCTCCTGCTGTGGTCATTATGCTTCGAAAGGAAATAGAGCATCCTGCGCAAATTTTAAACTGCTCCGACCATTTGGAGGGAAGGGAACTCGCTCAAAACTTCAAGTTCTTGACATTAGTCCGACCTGACTACTTCGTGACAATGAGTTGAATTAGTTCAAAAAAGTATTATATTCAGAGCTATTGTTATTTGGGAAATTTTACAGCTTTTACACGATTATATCACCATACAGACAAAGTAATAATGTATTGTAATTCAGTGCAATGTTCAGGGCGACAGGAAGCAGGATTCGTATTGTAAAAGGAGATTAGTTCTTGGTGGTAGGAGCTTGTTTGTCGATAACAGTCTACGCAAAATCTACAAGGTGCTTTACCTTGGTGAATCAGTTGTTAATGCATTTGTGTGGAACATGCAGCAACTCCTCTCTT